CATTTTACAAGATCAAATAAACTTAAGAATTTGATCGTAACTCTCTGTCTTGGGGGGTAGATGTTTTTATCTTGTGGTCCCTTTTGTTTGAGGGGGGCTCGAGCAACATGTGTTACAATGTTAAAGAAAACCTGCTCTAAAAAAGAGTAATCAACAACATTAGAGGTGAGTTTTATATTTGGTTAAGTTAAATTTATTGAATTATTCACTAACGATGCTGAATCCTGCATTTCATCGTATCAATTTACGAGGATGTTAACGGCCCATGGCATTACTATTTTATGTATTGACCGCATGATATCGGGGGAAAAATGATCTTCAGAAATTTGTTTCGTTTTCAGTAATTTACGGAGAAAAAGGGCTTAGTGGATAATTAAATACTTTGGTCAAATAATCACCATTGATTTTAAAGTGCAACACGAAATTAACATTAAAATGTGCCTTGCATAAACAAAGTTTTGAAATGCCAACTCAATTTTGAATCGAAAATCCCTCCTTTTATACAAATACTATGATAAAAGTCTACAGCAATATAAACATGTCAATCTTGAATACTGGAAAACCATTTAGATTCAGTAAACAGAGATGTATTGAAATATTGAACATTCTTAATATGTAAAAAATTATTTCAGCAGCGCAAGGTTGCTAACGTCAAGACCTTCAAGGAAAACCAATCAAAGTACAGAGAAATTAAAAACTCAGGTAAGAATTTTATTGTAAGTTCCTTTAAATCAATTTTAACATGATTTTTCGCTAATTTGGACTATATAATATTGTATTAGTGCAGTGTATTTCAGTTTTCGTCTTTGTTAAATGCAACAAAAGGTCTTGAAACGTCTAACAAATTGTTAAATTTTAAATTTAAAAAAAATTTTCAGGTAATTGTAATACACTGTACATTTGTTTTGCTTTCTGATATTGAATGATTGCAAATTGTATAAAAAATGATTGCAATTTAAAAGAGTTTTATTATGTTATTTTAAATGTAGAGTAAATCATTATGGTTACATGGAAGTTAAATGTTCAAATAATCTGAAAAGAATATTATGAAAAAATATTTATAATAAAAATATAAATTCTAATTACAGGTTGAAGATAAAATATGTGCTGTTTTCTTTTGAGATTTTCCTTAATCATATTTTAAGCTCTGAATTCTAAAGAGAAAATTTTAAGATGAATTTACAAGCTTCAGTTTACTTTTTAACATCTTTCTAATATATACGAATTTTCTCATATGTTTAGAAATATATTCTAATTAATGATGACTCTATCTTAATCCGTGTTGAAAATCTTGTCAGCATTTTTTTTCATTTGTTATAATTCTCGAGACGACTTTTAAATCCTATTACATGTTATAGAATTATGTATGTAATTATAATTGGCGCGTGTGTAGATAATACTTTACGTATTGTCAAGGATCATTTAAAGGGAAAATTGAAAAGGGGTACAGCAAAACTTATTCAATTGAAAAGACGAAATTAAAGTTAGCGAGACAAAAGATTACAAAGACAATGCACTTTCAAAGTTTTGACTTCGACTATACAGTGTTGCTAAGAAAAAAATGTTAGTCATTGAAATATACACGTGTAAATATCAACTGTAGTCCACGGTGGTAGTTACAAAATGTTATTTTCAATTTAGTTTTTTTTTTTTTCAACCAATTGGGATTAAATTAAGGTAAGTCAAATATAAAAAGTAAATTTATTTCATCTGTAAAAGTGTCCACATTTAAACTTCGAAGTCGTCAGCTATGATTTTAAGAACTTTCTTTTTTCTCTAAACCGTAAGATGACCTGATGTATCAAAAGTCAAATGCCAACTTTATGACGTCAGGTGTTGGGTCCCAATTTAATTACATAAGTACATGCAAGACCTCAATGATTTATTCATTTATTTTTGTGAATCAATTACTTATTATTGTTAAAAATATTGTTAATTGAGCAATCAATGACTTAACATGATTTTACAGTCAAGTTTTGGGTCTTAGCCCTTCTAAAAGTTGACCCTTTGTCGCTTTGGTTCTTCCTAATGCGTTTATTAAGAAAATTGGAGAAAGTATCCAACAACTTTGCATTTCAGATTACGCATGTTCATATAAGTATATCTGTACCTGACCAAAGGAACAGCTAAGCTGTATGATGTATTTAAATTACTAGTAATTTCCTGACGAATTGATCACCTTCACGTGGGGCTGCTCTGATTGCAACTTCGAATTTCAGTGTATTTAATGAACCTTATTCACCTATATTTTTCTTGAGATGTAGAAAATTGTTTTGCACTTTGAGTAGTATATCAACTTTGGGTTTTATCTTTGATAGTAAACAGACATGTCAAATCAATTTTAGATAATGGATTGTAAAGGATTTTTCAAACTTCCATCTCTGCTATTAGGTACAACCTGATATTACGAATGTAGTTTTCTTTTTTGATAAAAACTAATCTTAAATTTTATACCTGGACTTTTAAAAATGTGCATATTGAATAAAAGATGAAACAGTAATTTATCCTGTTTAAAAAATAAGGTCATTCAATATGGTTTCTTGTCAATTTTAACTATGTCCTTATTTCAAATACGTAACGATTCAATCTAAGCGATTGAATGCATGGACTATTTGTACTCTTAAATGTAAATTAATCCGCAGAGGTGATATAAAATTTGCTAAACGTCTTAAAATGACAGATTTAAATTTGTTCAACCTTATGGACATCGACATATCGGTTTCATTCAACAAATACCTCCCATTGTCTCTATCATGTACGGTAATTAGACACTGTGTAATTAGGAATTAGCACATATTTCCAGCTGTTGACCAAACTAACACTTAAATTAATATTGCCTATTAAAATAGCAGGAAAAAAATAGATGGGTGATACTTTTCAATAGATATTGATATTCTCAGATACTTGTAGACCAGGGAATGAAATTGGGAATAAATATTGACACCCCATGATAACTAGAATTGAAGATTTATTTTGTATATGAAAATATTAGTAATTAGTGATACAGAAAATATACGCAGACTTAGAAAATCAAGTCCTCGGTCTTATTTAGATTTTTTCGAACAAAATCAAACATCGATCTCAAAACATCGATTAACGTAAAAATCAATATCTAATTCAACTTTAATCTAACAATCAATAAACATGTTGATGGTAATTTAGCATTAAGCAAAATATGTTTATATTAGGTTTGATTGGCATCTTATAATGGATGGAAAACAGTATTGTTTCATGTACTCAAGGGCACGAGACATCAGAAGGGATGGGACACCCGATATGTTTAATTGATCTGAAGTCTAGTCAATTCTCGTGTCATGTCGTAAACGGGTCATTGGTTTACTTTAGCGTTTTTAGACTTATCTTTAATAGGGCACGGTGGAGATAAGAGGAAGATATTTTGAGGCAATATTTTCTTTAGTCTTTCACGTAGGCATACAGTATTTGATCACATTTTTTCCGAATAAACTTTGGAGCTATATAAGCTGGTGGACTTAATCTTCCGAGAAATAAACGATGATGTACCTTCAACTGATGACTTTGTGTGTTTCGAGGATACAAATTTAACCGCCAAACAGCTTTAGAAAAGAGCTTTTTTAGATTTTGTCCTCAATGAAAAAAATATATTGAAAAACCATCAGCTGATATTGATTTATTTCTATTTGTCGGAAGAGATATTAATTGGATTTTAACATAAAAGATAAGGGGCAGAATTTTTCATTTACCACGATACTCGACTTAGCTGAGATACGCCAACTATCGATAGTTCATTATAAATTATGACCAATGGGATAACGTTAATCTCATTTTGAAGAAACTTACTGATAAAAACTGACATTTTTTTCAACATATTTTTGTGTCTTCTTGTGTGGACAATTAATGTCACCATCTCCAAACTGAGTAGACTTCCGTTAGTGCCATATTTAGCAGTGCAGCTCTCCTTTTCGCGGAGTTACGTTTTGTTTGCAAGATGCTGACTCTGGATTTTCCAAAACTTCCCCGCCAAAATACACGCATCCTCTCTTCAATGCGATGGGATGAAGTCGTCAATCTTCTCACGTCTCGTTACAGAGAAAAAGAGGTAAATACAATATTTTCTTTTAATTTACAGTATGGGTATGTCCGTGGAACCTTTAGATCTTGTGAGAATCAGACGAAACCAGCGCAGGCTGAAAGGTTTGCTTTCGAATCGAGAAGTTCCGAATGATCACTTGAACCTTCAGCATTATCCTGTAAGTATTGATGTCCATACGACATGCGTAGTTACAAAGAACACAGAGACGGAAAACTATCATGATGAATTTGGATATGGCATAACAGCAGCTTTGTAATATGCCTATTTCACATTTGATATAACTTTTAAAATCAATCTGTTCCTTTAATTGAATGCATTTTTTCACCAGCTTAAGAAAATTATGTTTAAAATTTAAGTAAATTGAAAACGTTAAGAAAAAAACGTAAAATAAATCAGTCGAAGTTCATGAAACTTTTGTGGGTCAAAGTTTCATATTTAAGGGAATTTTCAGTTAAAGGATGTTGCACTCTTCAAATTAATATTGTAGTCCGTAAAAGAATTTTGCTGATAAAAATCCCATAACAGATTTTCCAACCTTAAAATGCAGTTTTCCAACGTTGTATAAATATCGCTTTGTAAATTATTGACAGAATTATTGCATTAAAATGATGTATTGCATTTCTCATTGTTAATGTAATGTGTTATTTTTGTATTTTTATTTGGCATTTTTATTTTATTTTTTCAAGAGATCCATTGTCAATCATTTTTTTACCAAAATAATATAATTAATTTGTGTTTTAAAATAACTAAAATACTAAAACTCAAGATAAATGGTTAATTGTAGGATTACTTTAAGGAAATCAAAATTCTAAATCAGTAGAGTATAAAAAAACGGCGTAATATTAATGTTTGGTTTTGAGGTTGATTTTGAAAATCAATGTTTGAAACTGAACATTTATAAACAGTTTTCACTGGTCATCAATCATAATCGAATAGCTTAGGTTAGTCGCCCATCAGTTTTTGTTGATGTTTCTGATTAAGCATTTAATCTTTGTAATATTCAACAATTCAACAATCCATCATAAATTAGTCCAAAACATACACAAAAATATTTTCCCAGCTGTTCTTATTCTGTTGGGCGAGGTTTAAATGCAGGTCCTTTGTCCCATCTTTGACAATTCTCAAGGTTTACAAAAAGTTTACAAAGATAAATTTAAGGTAGTGCGTACCTCGTATCTGATTTGAACGACTTTAATCTGAAAAATATAAAAGACCAATCTTTTAGTAATCCGCCGAACAACAATGATGTGTTCTTAAGTTCATTTGACAATGTTCGTTGTTCTCCACGCCCGAACATTAAATTTAGGAATTTACAATGCAAAAGCGTCTTATGAGATGACGATAAGAAGTGGTACATACAAACATTCCCTCTTCCATTATTCTCTTTAAAAAGGCACCATGGGGAAACTAACAGTCTATCCTAAGTAAGTGATAATTATACAGACTACTTTATCAGTTTCATATTTTATGGCATATATCATACTATATAGTATAATTGTCCTTTTATGCGAAACTATGTAATTTTAAAAGGGTTTAGATGGATTCTAAATGAACCGTGCCCCTTGGAGCCTCATTATCTATCGACAAGTGCCATTATTTTAGACTAGCCAGGCGTCTGGTGATGATAAAGTGTTAATATAGCATTGTCATTAGCTGGTCATTATGGCGTTGCTACAACTCATATTTTTTTCTCAGTATTATTTTTCGCTGTTAAATGTTCATTCTCGAAGGGTGATTATAAAGGAAAATATCTTGTCAAGAAGTAAAATTTAAAGTGTTAGAAGAGAATAATGGTTATTGGAGAAAAGATTCATTTTAAACCTCTGAAGAATACCATTGTGCATGGATATGGTATTCGACCAGAACCACAAGTATGCTTTCCAAATGTTAAATGAACAATTTTAAGAGTCTGTTTCTATAAGAATGTGAATTCAGTAATTTATTATTTGGTTTCAGATTCGACGAAAACCTCTCCCGGCGGGATTTTGTTATGTTTGCAGTCGTATCGATCCGGAGGGAAAATTCAAGCATCCTCATGGCTACCTTTTCAGCAAGGGTTTCTTTTCTCAATGTGAACATATGCCCAAGACTCCCTACCCTACTGTCATCATTGAGAGCCGAAAACCATCGCCCACCAATTCTGAACCAACGCAACCTATGAGCGGACTTCGGGTTAAAATCACCCGACGAAGCAAATCACCACCATCTAAATATGGAAAAAAGTATTTCGACAAATCAGTGCTTGATGGTGTTCGATACGATAATGATGTTTACCAGAATTCGCGTTACAGCGTGCCAGCCATGTTTGATCATGTGACTGATGAAGATGGAAAAAAGATTCCAGAAGTTGGGGAAATGTCATGGATGGAGGATGGTGACGATTCTGTTCACGAAGAAATAATAGTGAATTATATTGAGGATTGGAACGACGAAGATTCACCGGAATTTCATTTAGCTAACCAACAAACAACGCCAACTGAGGTCCTTTTGCCTCCAATTGGGGGTCAAAAGTCCAAATCAGGTACCAGCAAATCTGATTTAAGCATACCCGGGCCAAAAGTTTCGGAAAAACTGCCTTTGATTCATGGCAGTGTCGAACGTATCAACGCTTCAAGAGAACGACTCGAAAAGAAACCAAGTAGGAAAAAGTCTCGAAAATCCTCCGATGCATCAATTGACGACGCAGATATGATCTATGCGGGCGGAGAAGATGACTATGGACATATTAAGTACCACCACCGTGGAATGTACGACTCTCTCCCAAGCGGAGGGCCTGATATACCATCATCCCGAGAGGCGTTAAGCAAAAACACAAGCAAATCCTTGAATGGAGAAATGTCACTTCATGACCAAACGTCGGACAAGAAAAGCAGATCAAGGTTAAGTTCCAGTGAAATCTCGTTCGGAATTCCGGAAACACCATCAATGATTATCGCTCGAATCAATAACTCCGACCACTGGTGTCAGTGTGAAGATGTAGATATGTCCACTATCAAGTGTCCAGAATGCCATATAATAGGTGGACACGAAAAATGGTGTGTACATTCGAGATCTTCCGCAAAGCAAGGGAATTGTCCAAAGTGTGGGAAACCCATCAAAAGAAAAAATATCCGAGGTTCCAGTTATAAACATCAGAGACGAGATTCTAAGTCTACAAGTAAATCTGAAGAATTTGATATTTCAGCTGGAAAGCAACGTGTTCGATTTGATGATGAAGATGATCTTGACGAAAAGAAACGATTAGAAATGTTTAGAAAGAATGACCAAGATTACATGGCTGGTGTAGATGAAATATTGTATGATGAAGAAAAATACGGCCGATTATGGACACCTACCACCCAGGACGAGAATGAAGAACGCAAACCAAAAAGAATCAATCCCAACATTCACCGGGATGCCTACCTGCGCGCGCTCCTGGAAGTCAAAAACAACCAGTTGAAAAAGATCTCTGAAGTAGATGAACACTTTTTTGCAAGTAGACTATGCCGCCCGCATGTCTTTTCATACTTTCGCCTTCGGCCACAGCAAGCAAAGCATAATGCATTAAGCGAACCTTTCAATATAGGCTTAAAACCTGACGAATCAAAAGGTATTCCGCCTAGAAAGGGAATGAAACATATATTTGGGAAAGTGAAAGTAGACGACTTTTACCCTGGCGGAAAGAAAAATCCGAGTTTCAATATCTCCATGAAGAAAGAGGCCAAGAGACAAACGATGCCAATACACAGTATTAACTACAGCAAATAGACAACAAAGTTTTTTTTTTTATGTATGAAGAATTCTGATATATTATCAGATATACATGTAATTTTTAATAAATTAGGAATGAAATCAGTCAAATATTGAAAAAACATTTGGTTTTCGTTTTCTTTTACATTCCATTGACATATATATTTCTCTTTAATTTTGACGAAAAAATAATTTTTAACATCTAAAGTTTTCAGGTAGTAGAGGTAATGAAATCTAAATTTGATTTAATAAATTGCAAACTGTTAATATTTTTTTTCACGGAAACGCTTTGTATGTAGACTGAATTTATCGATGCATTTAGCACCTATACTTATAAAATTATCTTTCATTGTCATGAATCGTGCAAGAAAAATATTGCAGTAAAATTAAAATTAGATGAAAACAAATTTTTACAATAATTTATCCATTATTGTTACATGTACGAGATTTACTTCATACAGTCAAAGCAACTTCTAAGCAATACAACATTTGCACATATCCCACTCTTCGAGCATTAATTTTAGATACTCGGTTATTACCAGATTATATTTAAACAATAAAATGCTTTCTTTGTTTGTTATTACTGGAATTAACGGAAGCAGCTGTTGCAGAAAAAATACATAACCCGCGTAAGCGTATACGTTTCATTACTGGAACAGCCACTGATCAAGAAATCTGTACAGGCGACATGCCTAATGTAGTTCATGCAGTAATTAACGAAATGGGTTTTCTTAAGAAATAAAGGAGAAAATATTCAGAGGATGTAAATGTATTACAATTTACTTTAAAACAGTTTTTACAATGTGTCTATTTACTCGAGATCTAGAATACAAAAGATATTTGAGCCTGATAAAGTATTGTTTAATTATAAGTTTGCATATAAGATTTCCAAACACAATTTAAAAGGCACAGATATTTGCTAACAGAGTCATTATAATGATCACATAATTTAGGAGATGCAAGCTTTAAACAATATTGTTAAACAAGATTGTTGAAGTTTCCTGTAACATTATCTTTTCTTTTAGCAACTTTGAGATTTGAAAATACTCAGCGTTTCTCTTCAGTATCGAAAAAGTTGAGAGAGATATGAGGATATACATGTAATACTGAGTAGTGCATGAAAATTACTACATAATTAAAGAACGTAGACCATGGAAAAGTTGAACTTTTGTTTGTCAAACAATGTATTACTTGGTCCTGGTTTATTCCCTGAACGTCTACTCATTATAAAATTATTTAATTATCACATTCAATTAAGAGGCCCTCTAAGGGGTCCAGGTAGAGTTAACCTGTGTTACCTTGATGTGATTAAATACTTAAATATTTACTGTACTCAAGTTCAGTTAATTCACCCAAACTAAAATATTTTTATAAATCTGGAGTTCATTAATACATGTACCATAAATAAACTTAAAATTAAATACTTGATATATGTAATTGAAAGCACCAAACAAATATTTGTTCATACAATAAATATTTTTTATTTTAAAAAAATCTTTTATAATTGGAAATTCCGAAAAAGAAACAGTATTACACAAGACATGCAAAGATAAATTTTTACGACTTCTCCTCAAAAATAATTTCAAAAATCCAATTTGATTGGGGGTGGGGTGGGGAATTTAAGAGGCCTTACTTTTTAAGTTTTAAGCTTGCCGTTAATAAAGGTACAATATTAACATCTAATAAAACATGTCACGAAAAGCCAGATTAGCGGTGTTTTTAATTGTTACTAAAAATTATATATGAAAAATATACACCAATTGATATGGATAAAATCTTTAAAAAAAATAATAAAATTTTGCTGTAGAATTCATCCTTTAATAAGTACAGATATAGATAATTCAGGTAAACTCTACCTGTACCCCTTAGAGGGCCTCTTAATTGAATGTGATAATTAAATAATTTTATAATGAGTAGACGTTCAGGGAACACACCCTTGGTCCTAATGGTCTGAATAACAGCCAGTTTGAAACAAGTGTGGAACATTCCGTGGGTTCCATTAGTTTTGAGCTCAGTGTGAGATGTCGATTTCAAATATGAATTAAAGTAAGTGATTAATCGAATAATCATCGTTGATATATCTGAATGTCGAGCTGAAGGCCACATCAAATTGTTTCTCTTTTTCTTCTATTGAAGTTTTTGAAAAAATTCTGCTACATAGAAATGCTAAAAGCAGGTTGGCTAACAAAAGAGCATAAAAAGTTCCCATTGAAACTTGTTGAGAAACATAAGATCTCCAAAAGACTACAATTATGTCTGCCTAACAGTTCTTTGTATCTGTTCTTTTAAAAGCAGTCATTTGCCTTGCCTAAATACAGAAACAGTAAAAATTTTAGTAAAGCTTTTAAAAGCAGTCATTTGCCTTGCCTAAATACAGAAACAGTAAAGCTCACTTAACTTTCTCATTTTCTAAACATTAACATGGTCCTCCAGTGCAAGATGATAACATTATTTCTCAACTGTTTTCCATGTTAAAAGCAGGCATTTTTTCAGAGTTACTTTCCGAAATCTAGCATCATGAAATGAAAAATAAAATGTCCCATAGCAAAATTTCAAAGTTTCAAACGGTAAAATTAAAAAATATTCCTTTCAGTAGTAACAATGTACTACTTTAAAAGATAAACAATACTTCATTATCCTATGTTTTGGTATGATTTCTTCAGGTAGCATTGTCTGTTTTCGGCGCCACATTTGAACAAAACCAAGACAAACATGGTTACTTAGCAAAATTCTTAGAAAAGATCTCATCTTTAGGAAGTCAATTTTTGAAAATTTCAAGTAAATTCTTAATAGACCTATTATCAAAGAAAGCTTAATTCAATTTGTAAATACCTATGGTAGAATTAAAGAGATGCAACACAATGCTGATAAAGTTCCCATTAAAACATCGACCTTGAAAACCTTAGATAATGATTTTAAAGAACATGTGCCTTTGAAATGAGATATTTAATACATATAAGAGTTATGTCGTCGTACTAAAGCTCGATATTGTTAGGTTTTATTACAAGAAGAATGTGATCTTAATTTGGGCGAAAAGACATGTTAGTTTAGAGAGTGCATAGAACTGTGTAGTAGTGAGGATGGTTGTATAAAGTGTAGAAAAGTCTTATGTTTTTGATGTTACTAACTTTCGAAAAAAAAAATCTATATGTCTTTCTTTTAACACATATTTTTATGAGGAGTATAGATAATAACTTGGTAAACCATCTGCTATTCCCGGCAATGTATAATTAAGAGGATATTTATGAAGTTTATGAACTCAGTATTAGAAATGTATAGCCAATTGAAATCACCTTCGTTAAATGGATTGTTTAAAGTATTGAAGACTGAGATGTGAATTTGAAAATTCCATCTTTAGAAAAATTAAACTTTGAGTATAAGAAAGTTTTTCTACCAATAAAATATTTTACAAGATTTATCTGTTGGAACTCTAATATATAATATAGTATCATTAAAGTGCTTTTTTCATTATTTTCACTCGTTTTATTTAAAGAAGATGGGGGGATAAGGCGGGCAGAATGCCTATAGCGCGACAGATAAGAAATGAAAATTTTAATCTCAATTATATCCACATTTTATTTCATATTTCATCTAATATTAAAGTATGTACTTAATTAAGGTAAAATCTCTATAATTTTCAAAAATCTCACAAAGACGGAAAATATTTGCCTATGAAAAAGCATGCACAGACATTAAAGAACAAAAACGATCATTTTTTCATACTTTAACAAAATTGTTCAATATGAGTGGGTCTTCGCTCCATTTTTTTGAAAGGTAATCCTATAAGTTTGCGATAAAATAAATATTTTTTGGTTTACAAAAAAATGGAGCGAAGGCCCACTATACCTTAAAAGTACACTTTTATGAAAAATATTCGCATCTTTCTGAGAAATACTTCAAGTCCATTAAGACAAAGGTTATATCGCAAACATGATTTAAATGCCCCTAATCATCATAAGCCATGTAGCATAGCGGTTAGCACGTTAGTCTCAAAGCAGTATGATACTTCGGTATTTTATTGCTGGGGTTCGAATCCCACGTATACCATCGAATATTTTATAAATGTAATTTTTAAAGAGATTAATTTTCTCTCAGAAAATATTTTTTTTCCACGTAATTTCATAAATTTTAGTAATGAGAAGTAAATTGAAATACTCAATTTAAATATCAAATGTGATTTCTTAATATCTGACGCTATATAATAGACATTCTGCCCTGCTTATCCCCCCCCCCCCCATCTTCTTTTTTTTAAATTATAGATTTACTTAAAGAAAGCACTCAATTGTTATTTCATGTACACGTACTGATTTAAAATGTCCCCAAATCAGTAAGAGACTATGGAGTTATTCCGCTTTGTTCAAATATTCTAAGCGATGATAATTTTTAATAAAACATATCCTTTTTTTTAAAAAATAAAGTTAGAAGTGTAATGAAATAGTAGATTATGTGCAGAGGACGCGCGCTCTACGCTAATGTAACGTTAGCGTGATAGGTGGAGAAACCGATACCCGTAACACATGGAGGGTGATTGATCCAGGTCTAGGTGTGTTGAGGACTGCTTATCCTGGTGAGTTAATTTTTATTTTAACAATTTCTAACTTTTCTAATTGAAGTTGCTTTACTTGAACTTTGATCTATAATCTTCTGAAATAATTCAAACAAATTATTTGGTCTTCTTGTAGTCTGTTTTCTACCTTTTCTTTGGAACTTAAAAATCTATATGTAATTTCGATTAAAATCTAGTTTCCTCTTATGATTGTTTTTGAAGCGGTTATCAAGTTTTCTTTTCTTTCTGCTTACTTATACTGTTATAAAAATTCCAAACTCAATATTATTTTATAAAATCTTTTTCCATTTATAAATATTTTCATGCACTAAATTATTTAAAGGAAGTGGGGTTTATTAACGAGCTTATTTATTTTCATACCATTTGTCAATTAAATTATTATTACGGTTTTCTAACCGATCAATCAATCTAGTTTTTGGTAGAAATCCAGATTTATAGAATATATAGGATTTACCTTACCTTAGTTTTTTGTTTGTGACGCAACGGTTCTTCAATATTTCTTAATCCCTAGAAATAAACAACCTCAGTATATCTTTGTACATTGTGTAGAAAAAGAACAAATATCACTGTGCATATTTTTGTTTTAAAAACCCAAATTAAATCGAATTTTCCGATAAAGGAAAATATCGAAAATAATCATGATAACTGGACATTGGCATTTCTAGAATGACAAACAATTTGTTTGAATTTCTAAATGATTAAATACCCCAAGGAAAATTGTTCTAAAGAAAAATGAAAAAATAATAAATGCATTGATGTCTTTATTTTAATCGTTCGCTAAGAATAATTTATAATTATTTTGAAATGCATGCTTCCCACTTTATAAAACAATTTACAAAAATCATATTTTAACACAAACAGCTCATATGTAATCTTTAAGATGATAATGATCTCATGTTGATTAGAATTAGTTCGTCTGTTTGATAGTTTGCTCAAGGCCACTATGGAAATTTCCTATCATACTGAGACAACACCAATTGCCCGTGGAGGGCTGCAAATTTAGATCTGTTCTCGGCATTTTAGGCCTTTGAGCAGGGAAGAGTCTTTTTCGTGCCAAAACCTTCCTTGAAACGAGACCTCATTCTTTATACAATGTAATCAAGATGACCGATACTTTTGCAAAATTCAAATAATTTCAGTCCTACTTGCAGGTTTATCCACCTGCATTAACAGTGAACAAAGTTTCAGTATAATTTCAGAGAGACCACCATGAAGTGTTTATTGTTGTTACCTTTTCTGGCCTGTTTTTGGACTGGAAGCACTGGTAACCTTTCAATCCACAGTAACAATTTAGTGGCGATGTTCTCCGATTATCTTACTGACCTGGAAAACAGACAAATGAACACGGTTATTCACAACCGGAAGCGAGACGGTTTGTAAACATCTAACTTGAATTTTGAAACACTAAATGTAATATTTTTGGTAGTATAACACCCTCCAATTTTAATTGGTTCCCTTTTCTCAACGAAATCTATAATTTTATATCTAGTGGGGAGTGGAGCAACTGAACAATTAAGGATATGTACCGGAAAAAAGGATTGTGGAAGTGTGGTTCAGAATTTTGGATTTCTTTACGATGCTGATAGCGCCATTGAAATCTGCAACAGTAGCTTCGTAACGAAAGCTGACGGGGTGAAATGTTTCGACAAATACCCAAGCTGTGGATATCTGCGAGATAAGTTCAATGTCTGCGAGAAAAAAGAGGTGGTTGAAAAGCTGGGATGCGATCTTACTTGCGGGAAATGTAGTGAGTAAATTTTATACCAGTAATAATTGCAGTAAAACATATGGAGATAACGAACAGTTTTCAAGCTCGAGAGTCCATAAAACAATATACAATAAGAAAAAAAGGAAACACGGAGCTCAAAACATCAGAGGTTGGATCAGGTGTCATGGAGGAGTGAACATCTCCTGCCGACCGGTCACACCCGCCGTGTGCTCTTGTCATGATCGAATAGGTAAATAACGGAAAAAATCTGTCGTCGATTCAATGTGAAATAATGGACTAATAATTACAATGAGAAATGTCAGTCAGCATTCGACTCAGTGATAAAGTTTATTTGCTGACAAGGTCATTGAATCGTTCATAGAACTTACGAAATGATGACTTTGAATGAAAATAAATGGATTTTAGTTGTAACACGTCATTTGATTGGGTAAAAAATTTAATCAATTTCGTATAACATTAGTTGCCTACTTTACAATGAGTTACGACAAAAACTTATTACTCCGCTTGATGTTACTTTTAAATTGTGCTCGATTTGAAGCCTTTTTCTGGGGGAAAAATTGTCTCATTGTCCACACTGAAATTAAATTAAAAGGAATGAACCTTATTTCAACTTATGTTATACGATATAACATAACTTGGGGCAGTTTAAGCGTAAACTGTCCCAAGTTATGTTATATCGTACAACATAAGTTGAAATAAGCTTCATTCCTTAAATGGAAAATGATCATGTTTCTTTCTGTTTTAGTATTGCCTTAACCCTACTTATAATTCGCATGTTTATGCTGCAAGATATATAGATTTATTTTGAATGGAACAGGGTAATTATTTCTATAATACTCTCGCTTTTAACACTCAATCTCTGTAAATTCATCTTCCCAGGACAAAATTTAAATAGCTGAAATGCTCTAGTACAAGGGTTGATGTCCTGTATCCATACGTCCATACAAATGTGTTTTATTCTTTACTGTTTCTAAAGTTCAAAGTTGGCCTTTATTAAAATTAAACTGAAAGGATGTGTTATTGAAAAAGACACGCATATATTTATATTTCGAACAATAATTATTTTTTTCTTTTTTGCAGAACCAGAGCCAAAGTTTGGAAGTCAGAAATCATAAAAATTATGTAATACATCAGATTTGTATAAGAGTACAAAGTAAAGCTTGTACTAATGAACTTCCTCAATATTTTGAATTTAAGGTTTTATGTTGTAACTAAGGCATCACCATGTAGGAAATGAAGAAAGGTAATAATTAATCAGGTTGGGTCACTATAAGTTTGATTTGAAATTCGTTCACATTTTGGGAGTTATTTCCGACGAAGACTCAAGGTTGGAAAGAAGAAACAAAAAGAATTGAACACCAAATACTGACCACTTTCACCAAAATATATTTGATTTAAAACTTAAAAATATAACTTTGAACTGTGCTCATACACTTTTGATATTCTTACTTTGTTAAAAAATTAAGATTTTTTACAATCAAAATTAACAAAATATTAAAATGAAAAATTCGAACAAAAGTGATATATAAAGATGATACATTTTATTAACTAAAGACTGTTGTTTGCAGAAAATGTCTACATGAACTATTGTTAGCTAGGTTTGCACCAGTAGGATGACTTGAAAGAAAAGTATCATACAAGATCCTGCCTTGTCATAATTTGCATAAACAATTTTGGACAACTTTTAAGCAACGCACATTTCAACCTTGAAACTTCAAGTGCCATAGCTAAAATTGGAATAAATTAAATTTTTTTTCAGCTGCTGAGGTATAAAAGAATAGAAAATGTTCTGCTTTTCTTTAATATATACGCTTCTTGACTAAAAAAAATCGTTCAGTATATATCTTCTCAGATGAAAAGGATGTATATTACATAAAATACACCCATGCAAAAACGTGTGGAATTGGAAAAGTGTTCTTTCTGATTTTTTTTTCAAATATCAAGTCGGATTTTTAAAAATTGGTGTCATGAAAAAGGTGCATTGGTTTTTCCATGATCTGTATTAAATTTGCTTAAAGGCAAATTCTGAGGATCAAAAGGAATATTTCATTGTGTTGGCTCATAGAGATGGATATATTTTGGTAACATTCATTTTTCAGTTGATTGTGGTTTTAAAGTGCTGTTTTGCTTTACTATTTTGTTTACAATGTGTGCTTATTTATTTATATTTCTTCATTTTTTTAATTTTCGTCTTGAAACCATGCATATTACCTTCGCTTTTCTGAGGGAAAAAAGTTGTAACACAAAAACCAAACGTCTTAGATTTCATAATTACTTATTTAGAAAATTAAAAAAAAAATGATAAGTAAGGCGCTTATTCGTTAATAACTCTTAGTTCCAAGTACGACAATTTCACTTTTCAATAAAAATATTCTTCTTAGATAAAATCATTAAAAAATATGAACCGTATATTTGAAAATTGTCTTGAAATGGGAAAAAAAATTTAAAGGGAGATTAATAAAAAAAAAATCGAATATGCCTATATAACATAAATTAAATAAAAATAATGGCATGTATATCTAAGACTAATTATCAATACCCTTTTGTAATAAAAAGTGATGCTGAATTCTAAATGCAAAGATGCTGCATATGATAAATACCAAATACTGCTTATTATTCATCTATTCAATGACACAAAAGTAATACCTAAAGATTTGCTATAAAAATCTTCGTTGTTTGATATAATATTCGCAATAACACTGGTTTATTCCATAAATTACACCAAAGCAAGTCGCTGACAAATGTCAATTTAGGAATTATTAATATTGATGCAGATTATGCTGACTATAAACTATTTTTTGTAAACGTTGCAATGACCGCTCCTCGAAATCAGAAAGGTCAGGGACTCATAAATTATACGCTTGTGTTTCTTGTTTATATTTAGGTTAATTATTATTCCATCCTCTTGGTTTTTCCCCTTTATACAATTAATCTCGATTGAATCATTTCATGATGACCTTCAGATTTTTATGTCACTCATCATCGATGCTAATTAAGGTGATTATTGATATGTTGTGGTTTATTATTAAGGTGCTGTAAAACTTTTTTAAAATAAAAAAAAAATCCATGTCTTCCAGGAATTGATAAAATTTTATTCACCTCAGACAATCAAGAAATTAAACTAATTGTATAATTACAAGTTCATATCGAAAAGCTTAATTTTTAAGGATATTTACCTACAAAAATTTTAAACAAAGTATGTACAATATAATCATAATATTCATTTAAGAAGAAGAAGAAAAAGAAAGAAATTCTGATAGATTATATCCAACTAGGATAATTTTATAAAGTTCAAAATATCAAAAATGTTTCAATATTATATATTTATATTATTTCCAAAAGGTTCTAAATGTAAGCTTACTAGTAAACAACAAAAATTTTAAACATAATTTTACTTTAAAAAAACTAATTTAAAATATAATGTTTACCAAATCTTTTTGTATACAAACAGAAATCTGACATAAATGAAAATAAAGCAACATAAACCTCCAATCAGTTTCCAGATGAGAATTTGATAAATTTTTATCTGTTGCTTTTTAATTTATCAAGGTTCCAAATACTAGTAAACAGAACTTATGTTGCATAAATAATATTAAACCCTTCCCTTTTATTTTATGAATTAAAATATATTAATGTACTTTACGTATACTCGTATGTTTGTGTGTCAAATTTAAGGACATTTTCACATTTGAAGTATATATTACAATAATTTGCTGAAACTTCATCATTAAAATACAGTTTTAAATATTTTTGAGTGAATTGACTGCAAAGTTAATTGCATAAAATCTTTTATATTTTAGGTCCAAAGGAACTTGACAACTATAATATTAATTTTGATCAAATTTTGATTTTTTTTTATACCGGTAGTTAGATTAGTTCTTTTGAAAAATTATTTGCTTTTTCATTTGAGGGTGAGAAAAGTTGTTTTGATTGCATGCTAAAAACAACTTTCTGCAGAAGTTTTAATTTGATCTTTTATGTAACCTTAAAATAATATTTTAACCAAATTCAACAAGGGTTATGAATTTCGTCTAGTATAAAAATGAAAGGCGTCATAAAAGTACCGTCTAAAGAGTACATTTTTTTAAATCTTCAAAAATGAAAATGCAACATACTAATAAATTCCCTTTTTCAGTGTTGAATAAGCTTATTTTCTAAATATCACTGAATGTATTGAAAACAGTTTGAATATTAAAACCTCTCAAAAACAAAAAATCCTTGACAAAATTCATGTTTGTCTCCGTGAAATGACTTGCAGAAGCACATTATGTAGGGGCATTGGGATTTTAAGGATTTAGGCAATGGCCTCAACATTTCACGTTTTCGTCGACATGTGTAATTAAATTATTCACTTTCATAAAATCTCTAATTTACACAAAGCTGAATGTGAACAAATTCATTATTCATCAAAATTTCACATTATATAATTGACAAATGAGAGATATGCACTGAAAGTTTTTTTATTTATTGCTTAAATAATTATAAAACCATCTACATCTTTGCAGAATATCAATAGGGAAATGTAGAAGTATTTGCACAATTAAAAATTTCTTTCAGAACCCTCAATTGCACACGAGGGATTTTTTTTTATTCTGTGGTATCTTGATGCAGTAAATTGACCAGCAGTTAAAAAATCAAATCAAAATAAATTGAAACCCACAGAGTTAAACCCATTTTTATTCAACTCAAACGTTCGCGACATGCTAAATGTATAATCTAATAGAATACAATATAAAATCATAAACACTTTATCTGCAGATATTTCCCCACTGAAGTCCATAACTGTCTAACAATTAATAAAATAACTTCAATTTCAACAGGCAACTGGATATATTCCAGTGAACCTTATATGACACAAAAGATTCTGCCATATATATTTTACGATTGGATTTTTTAACTTTAGACGCTAATGGCGAACTAGCAACTTATTTTAGGATAAACGAGGAGACATAACAATTTTCATCGTCAAGATTCCTTCTTGATATCGTAAAATTTCCCTTCCACCTGCATATAATATTTATATTTTCGAACTTCTTCGGGATTCAAGAGCATGCTCTGAGTACCTTTCGAAATACATTTCGAAACTCAGACGGGCTACTGACGGATAAATTGTTGTTACAGGGATTTTAACAGCCTCGTTTAGAGTCATGCAGCATATCGTCTGGGGTCGTTTCAATGACTTGTAAAAAGGCCTATCATATTTTTGAGCTTATTTTTCAAACAATTAGTTAGGCGTATCACGTGTAAAGATTGATTACGGAATGTTTTACCTTCCTGATCAATAAAGAAGGCTCAAAGCAGGTAACATCGGCTTACAGGGGATGCCTACTCCTTCTCGGCACCTTATCCACCTCTTTTTCGAGATCTGTGTTTCATTCCTTGTTAATAGATTTTTTTTTTATTTCTTGTAGATTTAGACTGATCACCATTCATTGCCTTAACCTTTATTTCTGTTCATAAATAAAAATGTCTTCAAATTTTCCCTGGGTGTCAAAAAAGGTACTCTTTGTTGATAATGAAATAGATGACAATTACACCTAACTACAACATAATTCTATCAAACTCCAGAAAAAAATCGTTTGTGTATTGAGACTCTCCTACATTATCACTGATTTCTCAAAAGTGATCGTAAAAACTTCTTTTTTCGATGGATAATGACCCACATCTGAGGTCAGATTGATAAATAGGGACAAGTCCTACAACTAGGACACACGGAACTTTGGAACAAGAAGTCTATTATTCCCTTATTGAAGGAGTTTGACATATTCAAAAATAAACCTTAAAGTTGTAGATTGATTTGAAAATAAAGTTAATGCAGTATATGATTCAGTGATTAAAACGTTAAATAAATATCTTCTGTCAGAAAAGAAATAACTTAAAGATTTTCTGTTTTGTGACCTTGTGAGGTGTTAAGTGGAGAATGCATTTGTAATTGTCTTCAATCTTAGATTCCTTTAAAAAAAATGCAAATCATAATAAAAATTGTGTTTAAAAACTACTAATATCTTAACCCTAAAATGCCACTTTGAAAATATTTGTGAAATATGCTGATAAGGAATGGTAATTAAAATTCCATTGAACAATAAAAAAAATTAGGAGAGAGCAAACACCAACATTTATAAGTTCAGAGGTAGGATTGGGTGACTTTGAAGTATTTAGAATCTTGATTTCTC